ACAAACATAGGATTAAATGTTATAGTTTTCACGCAGTCACCCATTTAATCAGGCACACACCTTATGCTTCAGCATTAAGTATCTGATTAGGTATATAATGCTGAGAGTGAACCTGTCCTGGGTGTGACCAGTCTTTTGCCCAGTGACGGTTGGATAAACTCCAGCCCCCGCTACCCTGATTTGGGTTTAGTGGGTACGGAATATAGATGGATGGATGCTGAGAGTGAGTGTGGTGTTGCGTCATCTTCTGCGTGTGGGATGAAGCATGCCTATCAGCTTGCTCCCACACACATTGCACACACAGACGTCTCCACACAGACACACTCTCTGTTCCCTCTCCATCAGGCTCTTACTCCCAACCTGTTCTGTCTGTGCTGATATAATCAAAGCTGGCCACGAACAATCACTTAATAAGACCACTAACTAATGAGGCTGCACACATCATTTTGACACCTACATCTACCCTCCTAGAATTGCCTTGGAATGTTTTGACATGAGTGAAGACGCTTTTAATACATGGATATGAGTAAAGTTATAATGAAAATGATAAGTTTGTCATTCAGGTAATATTATTTTTGTTAGAACTCTCATGGACAGAATATTTTCAGCTGATTTTTCCTTTGATTTAGCATTAAGCAAGGAGAATAACCAGTTGTGATAACCCAATAAGCAAAGGAAGGGATATCCAGCTTGGAAGACACAGAAAACACCCAGATAAAATGTGGTAAACCAATCTGAAACAGATACTGAGACCTTTCTCTTAATAGAGATAGTGTTACAGCAGCATTACTTTACTGAGACGTTTTAACTTACAGATCAGGAAAAGTTGGTTAGACTAACACATCACAAGCTAGGCTTTTACTCGAAAGTATAATTGACAGAAAAGACATGAATACAGGGATCAGGATAAACTATTCTTGTGTGGAGAATCCACTCAGTTGACCTTAGGAGGTGATCTCACTCATCCATCCTACAAGTAGAACCATCCTCTGAGGTTAACCATGAGTGTTGGAAGAAGAGGTTCCTTTGAGAGATGAGGATTATAATTTGAATACCATGACCCCACTACTACCATTATTGCTTTCACTATAATTCCCTGACATACTTTGCATAGCCTGCATATTTTTGTTTTGGTGTAGTGACTGAATTGAATATTACAGCCGGCAAAATTCACACACAAATATTCTGTGTTGATGAATAACTACAAAGATCTAATCATCCATTTGAGTCATTAAATAGAGTGTAAACTTAGAATGCACCATTTTGGGCCAGTGGTAAGACATAATGAGTTATTAATGTGCCTAACTCCAATTTGGGTAATCTCATGATCTTTTGATAGTGTTCAAGTACAAATACTTTCTATAATAGAAAGGACCTTAAAATATTACAAAAAGGTTCCCATCATCTCCTTTTTTCCCTTGAAAAAACTAATGTATTCAGAATGGTTTAGTTCTGCTAGGCCATACGTCATGAAATGTTCTTTTGCAACTGGTTCTTGTTTGCTTAAATGAAATAGTCTATTACATAAATTCTGACTGGCAGGCACTGGAAGTGAGGCTGCACTTTCTTCATAAGATATTTGGCATAGCATAACTTTTTACATTCAGTGATTTACAGCCATACTGTAAAATTGGTTTATAGGTTTGGGAGACACAAGTAAGAAAATATCAGGAACTGCAATGGACTGGAAACCTGTCCAGGGTCTTGGCTGTTGTCAGGTGGGATAGGCTTCAGCCCATTTGGAATAAGTGGTATAGAAGATGAATGGGTGTCATGGATTGGACTGTTTGAATAAAAACGATCGTTTATATTCACATCCACACTCTTCAAGATCACCTGTCTACTTATTACATTTTCATTGTCCAGTTCCACTCTACCGTTTTTCCATTTTAGTCAATACTGTTAGACCACATCAACAAATTACTCAGGGAGCAGTAACCCATCTTTGAACACTGCAGTCATGCTCCCTCTGTCTGTGGAGTCTGAGGCCCCCTGCTGGTATTTGTCAGTATTAATATCTGGACACAATTGTAGTTACAACAAAATCAAATAGTTATAAAGATGATATTCTAAGAGATCTTGTAAAGAATAAAACATTGTTTTATGACAGTATAAGCAAACAGACATGTACTGGGAAGTACATCTGCTGATAAACAGAAAGCATACGTTCACTTTCAAACAAGAGATGCTCTATTAACTAAATTGTTCAATCCATTCTCCCCACCAAAGCAGGATCAACAAAGATGTAAGTGTACATTTGTTCACCTGACTAGTTTATTTTTAGCCATCATTATCATTTATCATCATTACGATCAAGATTTTTCTTTTTTCCTTTGTGTTATCTGGCTACTTACCGTTGTTTTGGTTTTTATACCTTGAGAGTTTGGTCACTTAATCAGATCAGAAAATGAGGATTCTATTCGGAAAACCATTTTGATGATTCAAGTGAGAGAGAATCTTATATAAAAGACAGTGAGATATGTGTTCTGATGTCCCTGTATAAACTATTTCAGTTATCGTGAATGGAAATAGAGAAAGATGTGTAAAAATAGGTAAGAGAAAAACTGTTTTAGGAATCTGAACAGGCATTAAAAAGTGGTTGATAGATTATGGAGGGGATTTTTCTGTGATAACACTGGGATAAAACTCTGAATCCAACCCTCTGATGCACCTTAGTGGACTCCCATATCCCTGTTTTTGTCGTCACCCTCAACCCCATCCCTTTATTTTCACTTCCCAGCACACTCTACCCCTTCCCACCCCGCCCTCACTCGATGTTTTAGTGCTGGCTTCATTTAGCACTGTGATGCTAACAGCCTATTCTCTGTGCTTATCCTCCCCCCTGACTGAGCGGTTTGCCTGCAGCGATAGCAGCACTTTACACAAGGAACACACACTGAGACACACATATCCACTAACTTACTGAGCTTTCTATCTGTCACCCTCACCTTCTTTGCATCACTTAGTGCTTTTTAAGCTGATGCGGCTTTTTATTGTTGCTCACATGTCTTTGTTGTCTCTCTTTCTAATATTAGCTTAGTTTGGGGCAAGTTGTGACATATATTACTTGGCATTATAAAAGTATGGACCTTAGCAATGATCAAAGATCATCTGTTCAGCTTGAGGTATAGATAAATGGCAGCTAATGTTCTTTCCTAAATATCAACTGCAGGCAGCCAGAAGCTACATAAGAATAAATGGCCCTTGTTTGTGTGTAATTGTAATGAATGCCTGTTGTGTTTGTCATTTTTCTATATATCATGCAGCAGTAAACTGATGAATGAGAGACATTTTGTAATATACGTTTAAAGTATTTGCAATTAATAAATTAACTTGACTAGATTTGAAAAAAAAAAGTCAGTCAAATGATATTCATAAAAAAATTCCCGTTTTTGCTACACCATGATTGTTTTATGTTGTTTGTGCTTGCTGGTAAATTCATTGAATCCAACATTTGTCCAACAGTCCCATTAATTCTTTTGTAGCATTTTTACAGGTTGCCTGACAAAGAAATCAGTGCCACTGGCTGCGTTAAAACATGTGTTGCATTTGTAATCATGTATTCCCCCACCATTCCACCTGTCAAAGCAACATGGGCACAATATTGCACTTATTATGACTTTTTATTTTGTATTTTACACTAACAGTTGAACATCACATCCCATTGTGCAGCTTTCTTTTAAAAACTTGAGCTAGATACTGACTAATTAACAATTAAGAAGGCTTTGCTGTTTATTAGATGACATTTGGAAATATGCAACAAAACATAGCTGTGTAACATCTTATGTGTGTTAACCTCAGGAAAACAACCGCAAGCGTGCCAAACAGATAAGGATACACAAACTCTCATGTTGAAGGACATTCTCTAACCCACACAAACAGTGTATTACAGTGAATCTAGGTTTCTCTGTCATGCTTTACAAGAACAATACAAAGGTTGATTGAAATGACTACCCTCCACCAATAGCAGCTCCTCCCCCACTTTATACACACATGGACTGTCAGTGAGCTCTGAGGGTAGAATCACTGTCCCTAGTTGCCTATCGATTAGTCATGCCTGGTTGCTGTCATGTGCAGGAGTCCAGGGAAGTCCCTAATTGGCCAGTCCGGGAACGATAGAGGCAGAGAGAGGCAGAACGAGGCAGAAAGGGCCAGCCGCTGTCAGAGGAAGGCAGCATAGAAAGATGAGAGATCTTAAAAAGGAGATTTGTACAGAGAAGATATGACTGGTATCACTTTATCATAATAAAACGACAAAATAAGACAAGACTAAAGAAGAAGGACAAAGAAGATTTAAGATTGCCTTTATTTCTGCTGGATGGAAAACAAGAACATGATTTTTTTATTTATTTAAAGGAAATCCAACAGTTAAGTTACTTTTTACTGTACTTTCTGGAATATTTTTAAGTGTGGTCAACATCTTTAAGGCAATTGTGCACAGTAACGTGTGGATAATATGACTCTCTGTGAGTGAAAAATTGCTGGAGTGGAGCATTATCGCCTATTGAGACACTGCTACATTCGACAGGAGCGGCGAATCTGTCATCCAATCCAAGAGAGAGAACTGGGATTAGGTTCAATTTATCCAAGGATTTTTCCCGCTTATGTTTTGTCTCAACTTTTATCTTTCCATTGGCCTGTTAATAATGAGAACAGGTCAATAACGAGAGTCAGTGTGCTCTTAAGGGAAGAATCCAAAGAAGAGGGCTGATGGATATTACCCAAAAGGAAGATGCTTTGCTTTTCGGGTGTAGCTGATTCTCAAATCCATCAGGGTGAAGTAATAAAACCAGCTTCGAACTGGAAAATATCTTTGCTCTGGAGACAGAAGAGGACTGGCTAATGTTGAGTGGTATGACCTACATTATGTGGACAGAATTGATTCTCTCAATGGTTATCTTTCTTCATCTTTGTAAAGAAGACAGTGTGGTAAGATCGAAATATTGAAATAATAAAGACAGTGGGAACATCTCTGTAACTTTTTATACATCCTTGGAGCTATGACCACTTATTTCCACAGTCATGAATTTTGCTGTAGCCCCAAAAAGCCCAACAGCGGCTCCTCGAAGGGTAAATCTGTCAAAGGGAAGGCCAAGTCGGGCAAGAGCCACTCTCAGTCGAAGCAGAACCAAAATTTGTTGCAAACACCAAACCATCAACTGCAACATTCGCCGATGCACTCACCAAAACGCCATTCCAATTCGAAACACAACTGCCACACTCCAAAACACCTGCTTCCTTCACCTTCTCCTAGCTACTATCACATAGCGCCATCGTCTCCGGGTCATCAGGTAGCTGCAGCCTTACCGACATACCAGCTGGCGCCGCAATCGCCAAATACTCTGCTACACTCGCCAAGCCACCACCAGCTGCAACTATCGCCGAGTCACCACCAGCTTCACTTAACGCCAAACCACAGCCAGCTTCACATATCAGCAAGTCATCATCACCTGCCGCATCATCCTCAGCAACAGTGCCACCCGCCAGCCTCGCCCGGTCACTTGCTCTCCTCGCCTCTAACTCATCAAATCTACCAGCAACAGCAGCTCTACTCACCCAGTCACCATGCACTCTTCCAGCAGTACCAGCATCACCACAACTGCCCTCCTCCTCTTCCTCACGCCTCCCAGTCGCTGTCCATCCATCCTTTCCACTCGACACAGGTGCCTCTGTGCTCAGGGTTGGATGGTTATGTGTGGAGCACACTGCCCCCAAACCTGACCACCAGGGGTTCAAGAGGGAAGTTCCCCAACCTGAGGGACAGTGTGAGAAAGAGCCCCACAAAGAGCAAAGGCAAATTTAGTTGCAGGCCGTGGCCCAATGACACATATATTTGGTCTGCACACTCAACGGCAGTACCTCGAAATGTGCCACTAACACCCCACTTCCCACAAATACAGGCTCATGTACAGGTACGTTTGAACTGGATGCATGTGGAGCTATGCTAAGGTAGAAAATCCTGTGTGCACTTCATATAATTTTATTTTCATTTCATGTAAAATACTCTTTTTTTTTTAGAAAGAACTAATAAATATAAGATTTACAAACACTGCTGCACAAAATTTGCGCAACATGTTGGACAAAGTGCATTTTCAGCCACAATATAGAATATTGGCTGTTACAAGCAACTTTTGCATCCTCTGTGATTATTGATGATGGCGCTAAGGGCAATTTGGAAGTACAGCCAATAACAGTTATTTTGTCACTTTATTTCTCAAACTGACATCTTAAGTGATGGCCAGAAAGCCGGCATGCTGCACTAATGATTTCCACTGAAAGCTGCACTCGAGGCTATTTACTGAATTGTCATATATTCATGTCTTGAGTAGTACATGACTCTCTCTTGTTCTCAGAGGGATGCTTGGCACTTCAGAAAACAGACAAGGGGCTTTGGGGAAAATTGAGAGGTTCACTGAAATGGCTCAAAATGAAGGAAGTAGTAAATGGAACACTATCATATGGTGATGGTAGAAGCATGAGAGGGATGATGGTCAACTTGACCTTTGCAGTGATATCCCCAAAGGAACGCAACCATCCACCTTCAAAATGTGTGTAGGAAAACAAAAGAATATGATTGTTTGTTACAGATTGTCAGTTAAGTAGTTACTGTGCTGTATGTGCAGTGATCAGAGATAGCAGGTTCTGATAGTCTGATTAATGTGATTAGCCTAGCTATTCTGATTTGATTAGAGTCACGCTCCATCTGATTAACTCATTAGTCAAATGGAGTTTCATTGCACATAATGAAGACAGAAGGAGGAGAGATGTGAAGAATAGAGTATTGTATGAATGTCTATACATCTTAACACAAGCCAAATATTTTAAATGTGTAGACTGGTGGACAGCGTTGCTGATGGAATTTGTGGTGAAGCATGTGGGGTGTGACGCTTGGGAAACAGAAGTTGTATAAACAAAATGCAAGTTATTGTGTAACACTTTGGTGAATGACTGTCTTTACTCACATTTTTTGTGTGTCTGCGTGTGTCACTGTATCGACTGATTATTTAACCACAACCACTGCTGTGCACTATTCAGCGTTATAGGATTCTTGATTTGTATTTATACGGTCACTATTTGTGTGGGAGTTGGCGATTGAATCAGTTTGCTGTTGGTGTGGAAGCTGAGCAGAGTGCCCTGCACTAATTGAAAATCATTTCCCCCTCCAAAGTCTGCACATACACACACACACACATTTGCACGCAAGCATTTGAGTTAGGTCTCCTATATTCTTTACTGAGAGCTCTGACTGAAGGACTTTATCACTTGTTTGTCTCTCTGTGTCAGGCTGATAAGTCAAACTAGGGACAGTCCGAATCTGTTCTTAAGCTGTGCTGGACTGAATCAGGCCATAATGCAGCGTTAACAGCAATTATGTAACAACTGACAATCACTTGCACAGAGCAGCCGGACACTGTCTGGTTATGGATGTTGTTTATTTGCACGTTTGTTCTTATGGCCTTTTTCATGCAACCCAGCCCGGTGCACATGCACACGCTCCCACACACATACTGTTACATAAGCATGCAGCCTGACATGGCATGTAAATGGAATCACCAGCTGACTGACCAGCTGGATTTGTCACTTTGTGAATGACACACACTCACACAGAACTTCTGTACTTTGCACTGCATCGTTAATATGCAGAGGATGCTGGGCTGGACTTGTCAGTTTTGTTAGTTTATAGTATCTCTTTAGGTTACTCGTTTGATATTCTTTTTTGTAGAAACACAAAATGGAAAAAGATTCAGAAATTTGATGGAATTACATTTTTGGTATTCTAGCAGCTCATGAAAAGATACAGACAATTTAAGATTAATAGTTTATTGTTTTTGGTAGGTTTCTTGTGTTTTATAAGAAATTGTTTTTGCCGAGCCCTGTTTGTGGAAAATGGCTCCACAGTATGTACACTTTTAGTTAGATAATGGCTACTATCAAAGACATTATGCACTTTGTTCAATTTATTTATATAATTTTCAATTACAAACAAATATAATTATATTACCATTGAATTTAATTAGGTGATTTTGTCTTCGTTTTGCCTGCATCAATATGAATTTAATCATTCTTGCTGACATGGCTTTTAACATTGATTTAGTCCGGATTCTGTTGTCTAGGATTTCATCTGGAAAAGAAATAGTGAAAGGACAGTGCTTTTTACATACAATATAATCCAAAACTCTTAACATAAACTGCTCCAGAGAAGGTTATGCCTTCAGCTTAAGCTACCATGGTGATGTGCCCAGATTAAAAGAAATCCACCTTCATGACACTGAAAACTCTGACTTTAGGTTCAACATACCTTGCTAAGCCATTAATCCTACTCTGAAGCATACCCCTCAGATGCAAGCTTTTCGCTGTGCCTTTCATTCAGCACATCACAGATGACTCTATTCAATCAGTACAGTGACCCCCGAGGTGAAAAAACACTACATACATCTGACAAAGCACAGCATCCATCCATTTTTTGTACCTACTTAATTGAATTCAGGGTTACTTGGAGGGAGCCTATCCCAGTTGCAACAGAGTGAGAAGAAAGCAAACTCAACCTTGAAAAGACTTTACTAGGAATTGAACCATGGAACAGTGGAAGAAAACCTAAATGCACAATAGTATAACTGAGGAGTAAATGAGAAGAAAAAAATTCTTTTGAGAATTTAATTTTTGTTTAGTTTGTTTAACATTGTTGTGATTATATATTGGTGTGTTCTGTCTTCTTTCTCCTTTGTTCTTGCCGTTTCTTTATTTCAATTTCATGTTGTAATAACCTGAGAATTCTTTTAGTAATAATTAATCATTTTAACTCTCCATTTTTCCTCTAATAGCACACACATGCACGCACAACGGCAGCTGCATCTGTCAGCATGTTCTCACTGTCTCAGCATCCATGAATCGCACTGGAGAATCCAGGCACACCTCTTTGTCTGAACCTTCCCCCACTTCTGCGCTCCACCCTCTGTTGTCATTTTTTTATTCCTCTATGTGCATTTTGTTTTGTGTGCATCTGTCTCCCCCCACTGCTCCTCTTGGTTGTTGCCGTTGAGCTCGCACCATACCTATAATCCCTGTGACCCTTTCATCCCCACCCCCTCTCTCTTCCCATGTGGGATCAGGCATCGAGTCAGCTTGACTGACAGACAGTTGCACATGTGGCAGTGGGAGCGAAAAACGGAGTGAGATAATGTGTGTGTGCGGGAGAAGAGATAAAGGCGTACAAGGGGTTGGATGTGAGGCAGAGATTAGTGCAGGGGGATAGTTGATGTTGCTGCTCCGTTGCACATTTATACTCTGTGTCAGGTTGGGCTGGTTTGGTTTTTCTAGCTTGGATGATCGCGGTTTAGCTGGCTTGTTTTGTTTATTTATTTATTAATTTTTTGCTAATGAACAAGTTCTGGAGTTTTACATGGACTAGCTAATGCAAAGCTGGTGTGTTGGACACAACAAGAGCTGCAGACGGTGAAAGTGAGAGTAGGCAAGGTGACAGAAGGCAAACTATTTGTGCTTTACATGCAACTATGACGAGATGAAAGCGACCCAGTGTTGTAGCTGCTGTAAGCTTTTTTGTATGCTTACTTTGGAACCAAAAAGTTGTATGTAATGCCATTGTTTGACGTTACTCTGACACTTGTTCTTTTAGCAGTGAAATATGAAGGCCTGGGATCTTGATTGAGGTCAGGGAGAAAAAAGAGCTTAGAGTGAAATCACTTGTGAGAAGGGGAGAGAGGATACTTACTAGTGTGCAGTGCGGTCAGGACATGTAGCAGTTTCTCAGTTTATTTCAACAAGAGACTCATAGAATGTAAGCTTTATTTCCGAGATTCTGTTTGGTCACCATTGACTATGGTAGTTTCACATTGGGTCAATCAAAAATTCAGCGCTGCCTTAGTGCATTATTGTGCTGTTAGAATGCCATTAGTAGTGCAACATTAAAAGGTGTTAAAGTGCTTTGTAGCGCGGCACCAAATTGCTCTGAGTACTTTATGGCACTATAGCAGAGTTTGGTAAAAGTGTTATATAGTGTGGTTTGCAGTGTGATACATTAGTACTGTCCACTAAAAGGGCTGTGCAGTATGTCATGCGGTGTATGCAGTCGCTTCATGGTAGTAATCCATAGCAGATGTACTCAACATGCTGTACCAAAACCTGAGACGAGTAAGTCACTATCTCTCCTGTCTCCTTAAGTATCCTGCTGGTTCTCGAGTTTTTTTTTTTTTTTTTCATTGCAATATTATTTAGATTGAAAGTGACTAAAAATTACGCCATTTTCTTCTGCAGGCCAACCCCCCTCCAGTGGTGGTCAACACCGACAGCGTCGACACTCCGCCATATGTGAGTACGCTTCAAACATTGCGATGCAAGATTAGGTTAAGTGCATGCTTCCCATCTTATTGTAACCTCCCAGTCCCAAGTTCTTTAATCAGCAATATGTTTGTATTCCTATGTCATTCATGATATTTGCCAAAAATTATTACTAACTCTAATCTAACAGAAGCATTGAATTGGACGTTCGACGACTTAATTCTAACCTCTGTGTAGGCTCAGAACATATGTTGAATAAGAAAACAGCATTGCAATGCTGAGTATGCTTAGTAGTTTTAACCTCAATACATATAGGCTAGCTTTTTTTTCTCTTTTCAAATGTATTTTACAATAATCAAAGACGTTTTTAAAATTAGTTAGAGACTTGGTGAAATACAGTTAGACATTAGTTGGAATGCAGCTAGCCCAGAGATTAACCAGCCCATACAGAGCAATAACAGGTCTGAGGCAGTTGGCTATTAATCATTGTTTAAAGATATTTTCTAGATTGTCAGTAGAGACTGAAGTGAAAAATGTAAACAAAACTGTAACAAAAGTTTGTGTAGAGCACAAAAAAAGATATCCACATTTCATGGTCCTGCTTTACCTTTAAAAATTTCAATATTTAATGGGATACGGGAAGCCATTAGGAATATTTTTTTGTTATTCTTAGTTTAACCGGAAAATGTGCATCAATGTGCCTATTTTTCTGCCTTAAATGGCACAGAGAAAACATAGGATTTTCAGCTTCAAAGAAGAATCCAGATGTTATCTTAGCCAGCTGCTGCTTAGAATCACTGTGGACTGCTGTTAGATAAGTTTATTATGTAATTACTGGAAATAACTTATTTTTCAGTAAAATGTTTTATTATTATTATTACGGGAACAGATTTTTATTCCATTGCATGGTTATTTAGGACTACAAATGATGCTAAATAAGGACACATTTGAACACATTCTAGGCTCATGTACACTGCATCAGCTGCAACATATCTGTGATAAGAGGCAGTCTGAATTTATGGGTTTCATTAGAAAAGCAGAGTAAAAGTATAGTGCACTGTATGGTAGTTGACAACCATGTACTCTTTAAAACATCAGAAATTCAAAATCTAAACTAATCTGACTGTACAGACACAGATTACTGCCAGGCGGATTACTCGGGCCACTGGGATGCCAGTTGACCACTGTGTTTGTGTGTCCACCAGCTGTATCTGACAAAACATTTCAAACTGGATGGCACATAACATATATGATGGTCTCATCATATCTTATATCTTCTATATTTTCTATAGAAATGTACCATCGATGTTAATATGGCTTACAGTGAAGGTGGTTCAGACAGGGCGTTGTGTTTGGCTCATGGGTAAATCAGCAGGGATGCTCTTAAGAATGACATCAGGGATGCATCGTCATTAAGTACGCATTAGAAGTTAAATCTTTGGGATTCATGCGTCAATCATGAATCGCTGAAACTCACATGACTGATTTTAGGTGTAGCGTGACTGACCTAAGCAGTGCAGAAATGATCAGATAATCACATCAGCCTTTGTCTTAATTAAGGAAGTGAATTAAGTTTATTTATACTGAATATTTCTATGATGAATACAACTGTAGAATACACAGAACTATTACAACATAAATGTTGATTGTAAACAAAAAGGTTTACATGTATAGCACCTAGCTACCACTGCTTAAAATATATATTTTGTCTTTTTTGAAAATCGCATATCTTACAAAGAAAAATCACTCATATTTTAAAAGCTGATATTTGTACACATGTGTGGGGAAATCAGTTGCAGTAATCTTTTAAGGTGTTTCTTACCTGTTCCTCTTTTTTTGGCAGGTGAATGGAACAGAAGCAGACTATGAGTATGAGGAAATCACACTGGAGCGGGTAAAACATGACAACTAACACACAGCCGAAGTTCTTAATCACATATTATCTATCTAAAAATACATCTTAATTATATAATAATTTTTTATTGAATATTATAATAATATGACACTTCTATTATCCATTTGTTTGCTCATACTTAGCCTCCTTTGCTCTTGGAGGCTATTGGAGTCCTTTGACCCCTTTTAAGAAGTCAGAGAGATTCTCATGTGTGAAATATTGGTTTGTGGTGAATATTTTCATGTTACTATAGACAGTTAATCATGTTGAAGCTGTATATATCGCTGTAAGAATTACACCATAGTTTCAAATAGATTAATTTACATAACCACATAGATTTAAGAATAATAAAACTTTCATCTGCTCTGTGTCAGCTATCTTAATACTCCATTTTCTTAAGACTCAAGCATTATCTCATCATTTCTCTTTGCCCTTACTCAGCCTGATCCTTGGTCTGATTCAGCTGACACTCTTTCTATGTTCTGTCCATTTTATTGCCTGTCTTTCTATACTGTCCTGGCCCTCTAAAACCCTTCTTCTCTCATTATACACCCTTTTCTCTCTCCCCTAAGGGTGTATCTTAGTCTCCCTCCATCACTCTTTTCTCCTATGACCTGGTTCTTTCTGCATCACTGGATCTGCTTAAAGTCACTCTGGACATACACACAAACAAAAGCCCAGACATTGCTCTAGTTTGAAGTACATGACAGAGCATGAGATCATGAGTAGTGAGAGAGAGGCAACAATCAATAGATGTCAATGTAATGTATCAATGTAATGTATCAATGTATGTATGTATGTATGTATGTATGTATGTATGTATGTATGTATG